CTAAAAGATATTTTTCACATTTTTCAATATGTTGGTCCGCAAATAGAATTGAAATATGACTAAAAGTATTATTGATAAGTAAAACATGATCCCAAATGCAAATTTTCATTGCAAAATTGAGTATTTGAGAAAGTGTCCCTTGGTCGTTACCAAAAATGATTTCCATTTTTGAGATAATTTTTAAAGAAAACTGTTGTGTTTTTGAGAAACTTCGAATGAAATTATTTAAAAGTACTTGTGCCCACAAATACAATAAAGTATTAAAAAATGACCGCAGGGTACTTCATGTACAATACCCCCAAAATTTTAAGTTATATTTTCAAAATCGCTGAACATCAAGTCGGGTCAGATCGACAGGGGAAATTCATTTCGGCAAAAATCCTAGGAATAAGTTAGTTCCTAGTGTTGTTCATAGACAAATATAGGATCGAACGTTTTGAAAAAAATCTTTTTCGGTATCACGAACTTTCCCTTGAAATCTCAAAATCGGATTTTCGAAACATACATAACTTTCTCTATACCACGTATATTTCTCCATATGTAAGTACGTATGCGAGAAAGTGAAAATCTGAAGATAACCGGCCATAAATGTAACATTCGCGACCACCTGAGATAGAAAAATGCTTTAAAACCCGCGAACAGGATTATCAGTAGCGTACCTACTTCGATAAGATTTCACAAAGTATATCGTAATCAATTTAAAGCTCTGGAACAATATACTCGAGCGTTAACAGCTGCTGTATTTCCGACATTATCTTTTTTATCAATTTTTGTCATCTTGAGCCAGTTAACTTTATAAATTACCATATAATTATCTCCCTTTTTTTCATTTTCAGCAGAACACTCATGATTATAGTCCATACATTTACTCGCCTTCGACACAAAATCTCGCAAATGCAATACTTCGGGTTAGTAGTTTATTTCTTAAGGGTGTGTAAAACAGGTTTGACAAGAAAAATGTAGATTTTTGTAGACAAAATCACGAAGAAATCAGCAGGCATCATCTTCTGCAAAATTCATTATGCTACAACACTGAATTTTCTATTGCGATTTTGGAGACGTAGCTAAATTCTCCCACTTCAGAATACGGATGATCAGAAACGTGCAAAATTTCGAAATTCATGTAGAAATAAATTAATTAGCGCATGCAGTATGTTAATACAAACAGTACGGTTTAGATGTAATGCTAGTTGTCTACTTATTTGGCACACTACTGCTACGGATGTCTAGGAAATTTACCTTCAGGGGTTCATCAAACTTGTTTCAAGCGAAAACATTTATCAATATTTCAAATAAGATATTTGAAATTGGTGAAATTAACAGGTGAACATGCAATCCGCAACATTTATTTCACTGCAACACTCGTTACTATCATCCGTAACTCGAAACACCCATTGGGGCCCCCACTGAAGTGGGGCCCCAAATTTTAAACAAAAATGTATTTCCTTCAATAATTTTAAGAAATGTACCTGTATTTGAAATATGAATCGCTTTAAAACATAATAATGATAATAATAATAATAATAATAATAATAATAATAATAATAATAATAATAATAATAATAATAATAATAATAATAAATAAGAGGAACTTTTGTTGGAAATAAGGAACCCCCATCGATCTACTGCCCCAGCCCCTTACTTTCTTTGGGCAATCCTGCAAATGAGGCTGTGTTGTTTCTTAGACTTGTCTACAATTTGAGCTCGTTGAAAATCATCTTTTACATTTCTGCAGGTTTAGATCTTCTAGTTGAATAACCAGAAGGTTGTTGTTTAACCGACGCACAAATGTTAAAAATGTGGATAGTAACGAAATATTCATAAACTTAAATGAAGTATTTGATATTGTGCACAACTGAATTTCATAGGTCTATGTCTCTTTGCTTGTAATTAAATCATTAGCAGTGTTGGAATGTTTATCGATACACAATTCTGAGGTTTACATGAATTCAGCGTCAAATGGGTCATGAATTCAAATATCCAAAGTTACATTTTAGCAATACAAAGCAAGTTTCAATTTTAAAACAATGACGAAATTCGAAATGTTCGCACATGTCCAAAAATAAATAGACTACAATAAATTTAGTCTAGAGTTATTCAACTACATGATTTTATAGTAATTTGAACTAAAAAAGAATTTGGCCTTACCTTAATTACACTTTTTAGTCAAGTCTGCAACGTCACCTGATTAACAACATTCGTCAGGCGATTTCCGTAAAAATGAAAAACTGTTTCATAAGACACAGTGTTCTTCGCCTATTCTGTAACAGTACCGACTTTACTCTGTTTTCTTCGTGGCATTACCAGAAGTTTTGTTCCCCCTGTCCAGTGCCTCACGAAAATAATGATTACAGCTGTCAAACAAAACAAATCTCCATGGTGATGAAAGTATTCTGCGGGTGATCATACAGTACAAGGTCAAAAATATTACTCCTCTAGCTAATCGAGACTATGCATTTGATTAACTAGAGGGCTAGCTTTTAATGCAGAGATAGATCCACTTTTAAACTCACGACCAGAGAAATTAATACTAAGTGTAGAATTTGAATAATTCTACTTTACCGAAATAGCTTAACAATTAGATGCATAATAAAAATCGTTTTATAAAGATCGAATTCAACATACACTTCATCTTATAAAAATGACAAAGCATGTTAACTCTTTTCTGAAACGTTGAAGCAACAATTCACAGCTTGTTCTTCATACTGGTCATTCATTACTGTCAAAGACTATTACGAATATTTAACTAAGAAGACGTTTGAGTAATAAGGCCTCACATATAGTCAGATTTATTCTGCAATTAGCCTCATGGAAGGCCTCATTCAGCTTGTTTGTTATCGAGTGCCCTCTTGATATGTTCAATAATTCTACGTGCAGAAATAAACTTGATAAATAAAAGTGAAGTATTGCAATGTATGTGTCAAAACAGCTCCCTCATAAAAATCAATAATTTTTTATTCAAAAAGTGATTTTGTTTTGAACTGTCGGGCGCACTAACGTGCATAGTCATAATTCTTTTTTTTAATAAGCTTTTTATTAACTGCAAAGCCATTAGTGACTAAATACAATTCTTTGCAACACATCAAATAATTTTATAGTCTTTAGAATCAGAGAAATAGAATTTATATATGTGAGATGTTTTAGTAAGTAAATTGGAAAGGCAATTTAAAAGGGAACATGTCATACTCTGTATGATACATGAAAGGGAATGTTTACATTTTTAAGTTATTAATTGATTATCGTTTCAATTAATACACTGGTCAATCTATTTAGATATGTTGGGTAGTTATAGGGATGTAATAAAATACACAAAGTAATGGAGATTCATTCTTAATTCTTGTTGTGGTCTTTCTTTATGAAACATTGTTTTCTTGTATTTACTTCTCCATAGTCACCAATAGACATATATTTTTGTTCTTACACTGATCTATACGGAACTGAATATTTTGATAAGTAATTCCCAGAGTGCCTTGTATAATTCGGTTTTGACACCCGAAAAAAACAGTACCGGCATGTTATTTTGTTCACTATTATGCTTGCATGGTATCTTCCTCGTTCCGATTCCTCAACAGGAACTCCTGAATTGGGGTCAGATTGCGATTAGTCGACGTGTAGACCCGGCTTTATTCCATTTTTCATTCAGCTTGTTTGTTATCGAGTGCCCTCTTGATATGTTCCATAATTCTACGTGCAAAACTGGGCTATCATGGGAAAGAACCGGTTGGGACAGTTTCGGTTGTGATGTATTTCATAACGTCTAATCTAAATGTCGTGTCTTGGTATTTTTCTTGAACGATGAATTGAAAAATGCGGGTAGAGTGGGGGTATTAGTTACGAAATCAGTCAAGATTTTATGAAGCAATGACAACCTCTAGAGAATCAGTCATGCATTCTCATCTTTTTCAATAATTTGCATTCTAATTTTCTCAGGAGTTCGAGGTACCTCCTGTGATGGATCTTCATGTGCTTCGGCCATTTCTTTGGATTTTTTTCTTGGGGGGGGGGGGAATCTCGGACAGAAGTTCTTTTCAACAGAAAATAATTTATATTTCGCGCAAGTGAAGATGTGTTTGGAAAGTTGTCATCAATGCTCGTTGTGAGCTGTTGCCTTCAACTGTTTATTGTGCAAAGACATCGTTCAAGGAAAGTTGCGCGAGTAATGTATTAACATGCATTTATATTGAAATAGCTTGACTTAGTTAAAATCGTCGTAAATAAATGTTCGTATTTATTTTCGAATTCTTAAATATTTAAAATATCTTAGAAATAACAGAAGTTTCAATTTTTAAGAAAATTAATTGATAATTGTTTCAATTTAATTGTAATCAATTAATTGGAACAAACATTCATATAATTAATTTATTGTTTCCAATTAATCGATAATAATGATAATAGTTTGTTGTTGCCATCACTAATTGCGACCAATAATTAACTTTGTTCCTTTGCTGCTCAGGTTTGTGTTTTCTTCTTTAATTATGTTTTAATGTAGCAGAAAATGATTGTGATTTTTGACATCAAATAAAAAAAAAAGCTTCTAGAATTATTTGAAATAATCTACTAAATTGTCTTAAAACATTGTGAATATCCTAAAGGAAAAGTATTCGCAAATTTTTTAACGGATTGAATTCAGAATTCAGTTCCCAACTTGGATCATATGTCATTCGTCTTTGAAAGAAGTTCTGCCTTGAGTGAAGGCCTACTCCCACATTCGCATATGTACGATTCGACCCGATTCTGTCCGAAGTTCTACCACTCCTTCCAACCCTACCGGCAGACACTAGCGCCACGGAAAATCCCAAACTAATGGACGAAGCCTGTTGCGATCCCGTCGTGCTCTATGATCGACTTACAGAGCTTGCAGTATTCAGATCATCAAAGAGCGGGGAAGTTCGTTGTTTCTTCCTTTTGTGAGTATGTGAGATTGCGGTCGACGTGGCGTTTTCGGAATTCGTGTGAATCAAGGAATAACTTATCGTAAAATTAAAACTCACAGGTAAAACATGATATTTCCTTGCGGCATGTGCAACTTTGTGTTTCCCAATAGATACACCTTGCACAAGCACTTCCTGGATGATCACAATATAGACAAATCAATGGGAAGGAAATTGTTTAAGTGTCCTCATTGTGAGAAGAAATTTACCAGAAATACAAATTTGAAGATACATGTGATGACATTTCATAAAAAAGCAGCTCCAGCACTTGCAACGTGCCAGAGGTAATTAATACAACCTATTTCAAAAATATATAATTCAGCTTTGAAGTGTACCATAGCACGCGTAGATTATCTATTTTAATGTGAAAATTATTAGCAAGGCTTTCTTTGTAAAAATAAAAAAAGGAAAATTACCATATATTATTCTCGAAAATAGAAATATTTGTCAATTTCACTTGCTGTGTGATTCGGATAGGCATGGAAATTAGTTAGTTAAGTTTAATGAATGACAGTGGCATAGCGTGATTTTCTTATCAAGGAAAGCTATTACTGTATTACGGCGTGTATCCCGTACGTACAATTATTCAATTATTTAGGTTTGCGAATATGATGCCATAATATGAAGGTAATTCAAAAAACTTTCAATATTCAAAATATCAAAAAATTACTTTTGAAATGTGTGTGTGGACGTTGGTGGGCATGCAAGCAGGACATGTTAAAAATGTCCTTATTGAAGGGATATCACTGCCCCGGTTCGTTGATACTGACCAACATACGACACAAGTTTTAAGCCGTGAAAAACAATACGAAATCGCTCTGATAAATATATTCCTTTAACTGCACATATTTTTAATTATAAATTTAACTACTATTTAACTAAACATTTTAACTATATCAACAGACTTTTTAAAACTGGAACGTGCCATGGGTCCTCTCTCTTCACCCGCCCCCGTATCAGTCATGTCTAAAGGACGGATTTTCTTGCAGTAAAACTTTCTAAAACGTGCAATAAAAACACCAAAAAGAGCAAAAACGTGCAATAATAATATCAAAACCTTTCAAAACGGTGTTATGTACCCTAAAGACTCCAGTGAATTCACTTATCAACTTATTTTACTTTTTGAATGTGATATTTAAGGTGAAAAATATCATTTTAGTGTTTTTATTATAATTAAGTTTTTACATATTGATTAAACAGATCTCTTTGATATTTTAAATATTATTCACACAAAATTGTATTACTCCAAAAAAGCAGGAAACATACAAAAATACCTTCAAGAACCAAAAATTAAGAATTATGCAATAAATATTCTTCATAGTTTTCATTATAATTCACAATTATGTACATTTCCAAATTGTTTTCTGAGAAAATTCTGTCATTTAATACTGACAGAAAAACTTCGTTCTACAATTACACTTGTCTATATGCCGAGTCCCACTCGAAAGTACGTGTGCACGCTGCTAAAAGCGGTCAGAAACTGCGTTCACTCTCACATACCTCGCAGGGCAACATCTGTTCCGAGAAATTCGATGAATTTGAAACGCGATGCAGCTTGAAACTAATACAGTAAGCTTCGCACCAGGACGCAAAGGCATTTGTTCTCTCGCGCATGCTCTTTCGTGTTGAGAGGTTCAGCGAATACTGGCAAAACGGGTATATGATCCAATTGTGAAGATAGACCTCGAACATTGCTTTGGCTCAGCGGCCGCAACAAAGAACCGTGGACCGAGTTTACGGTAACACCGCATATCTTTACTCCCAACTGCAATCCCTCAGAATTTGTAAATAGGCAACAGGCATCTTGTAAGATATAGATAGGGCAACAAAATGTAGGACTGATACATATTAAACCGCACTCGCGTTTCACAAACCACCAGAATGCACTGCCGGATTGTTATAAAAACTTTTTTCTTAAATTAAACTTTTAAAATGGGTAAATTAAAAGAATTTGATAAGTCTGTAAGCTGCGAATCAGCAGTAAGTCTCCAGAGAATACTGATATTCAACAGTTTTATTTAGAACAAGAGACATGTCAATTTGGGATTAAAGTGCAACGAAAATAAAACATCTTAACGATTTCCAAATTTAAATATTTTTCTTGGAAATTTTAAGGGAAGCTGCGCTTTCATCAAATTCATGGGCTCCACGCCCCTGATAATTGATAATTACAGTAGTATTATTACGTAAAAATATTACGGAAATATATACGGAAAATGTTTTGTATTTCCTATGCAAACACAGTAAGACAAGCTTCCCTTTCAGTTGCAGAAGCTCATTTGTAACGCTGGGAGCAGCCAGAGAACATCAACGAGAAGCACATAAAGGGCCAAAATCTGACGAAGCTCGTCCTCAGAGGCGAGTTTCATGTATTGAATGTAAAGAACAATTTTCAGATAGAAGTACAATGTACCGACATTTTAGAAGAAGACATAAGGACATTAAACTGCAAACACACACGGTACCCATGTTGTCCTGTCCGGAATGCCCTCAATATTTCTCTCGCTATACGGAACTGCAGACGCATTTAACTACCTTGCACGGCATTGAAATTGCCTCTAAGACGTTGCGTTTTTCCTCTCTCAGAGGTGAGTGGGTGTACATTTTTTTTATCAGTTTTTGTATTCGGAGTTTTCGGTAGGTATTGCACTGTATCTTTTTATTCCAGAGTTTGAAATATGGAAATCGCAGGAAGAAGCAAACTCTCTGACAAACTTCATCAAGCGTTCCAGCAATAAAAAATTCACTTACTATATTTGCGACATATCATCTAAGGTCAGAAATGTAAGTGGAATGGGAAACGAAGGATACACAACGAGGATGGGCAAATGCTGTCCAGCACGAATTGTACTGAGAAAAGAAGGCAATGATTACTATGGATCATTCTTCAGTACCCATGTGGGTCACACCCATTCCATTGATTCTTTGAATCTGACTTTGGAAGAAAGTTCAAGGTTATTAGCAGAATAGGAAGGTGATTCCCTCCATTATATTTTTGCAAGTGGTGATGTTTTCCTTTGAATGGAAGATTTAGATGAAAGTGACTATGCTTTGCTTTTTATAACAAACCTACACGAATAACAAAGTACTTATTAAAGAAAGCAATTGTTACTGATGAACATTGCACACACTGCATAATATTTCTGTGCAAATGTAAACTAGCAACTAGAGTATTTGTAGTCCATAGCTCCATCAATCGAATTGTAATGAGAACGTTCATAATATTTTCCTGTAGTGCGTTTCTGACTAAGTTAAGACCGGTCCTAAATGATTTCCAACACTGTAAACTGTTAAAGTATGTATCACTGACCATACGATCGTGTAAAAGGAACCACACCATTTTATATTTTCGATAATAACAACTACGTGTGGTACGTAAGAAATTAAAGATTTACAACGAATAAACTGAAATTTTGTCATTATTGTACCACAAGATATGTGTTTTTAATTTGCCTTATTGTTCAAGTATACGTTTTCCAGATCATCAGAATACGAAAAGAGTTCTTAGATTCTATTTAAGATAAAAAATACTAACGATTATCAGGAAAGATAATATGTAATTTCGCATTTTAAGATTTTATATATTTCCGATAATAATTATTTTTACTCTGTTTCCTGTTCTGAAGACTTTCAAACAATTTCTTTTAGCACTTTCAAAATATCTTATATTTTGAGTTTTGTAAGTCCCCTTCAAATCCACATTTAAATAGATGTTAAAATGTTTAATTAGAATTGTATAAATTTACTTTTGGATCATTCAAGCGCAATATATGCCAAAGAAAACGTTAAGTTTGGTATTCGAGAAAGTCTATATTGCATCTTTCGAATTGACTTCGAAATTATTTAAAACACTTTCGCCGGTTTTCTCGTACTTGAGTGTACCACGAGTATAAATATATTACGATACAGGCAGATACTAAGAAAATTTCATAGTATGACAGGAGAGTTACTAATGTAGCCGTAATACCTTAGCATAAAACAAGTATTGGGTACTAATAGTGCATTTTCCGTGTACGCAATTAATGTAACAGAATGGAATGTTTCAAAAACTGAGCTTTTAGAAATGTTTCGGATACCCTTGTAGTTCTAATTAAAAAGTGTTCACTGTAATCTTTGTAATATTTTTGAATATAAAGAAAATTGAAATTTACATTGGGTTGTGTGTACCAGACACAAAATGTAATACAACTTGTTCTGTATACTATGTTCAAATAGTAGAAAACAATATATTTTTATGGTTTCGTACAACACATACGAATATGTCACGATCACGCGTCATTGCTGAGATATGCTCATTAAGGAACTAGGAAAAGGAGATTTAGTTTTATTTTCAATTTTGGGAACCGTTTCTCCAAATATTTCAATCACTGCAATTACATTTCATTCCCCCCAAATGTAGTATCATGATAAGAAAAAACTCAACACGTAGGTAAACACTGTTTTTTTATTTTCTCTTGCTTCTAAATCAAAAAAAAAATAATATTTTTTTCATACAAAATGATTTTGATAAAATTCACGAATCACAGATTTACTTTTAAATTTAAATAAGTTCCATTTTAACAGTTCGTATTTTAGAAATACACCAATCTGTTGTACAATCTTCCATTTCTTGAGAATGGAATAAGTTTCATGACTGAAATTGAATTCACACTACGAAATTTTATGATGTAAATTTGCCCAGTTTCCTTTCACGGATGATCCATTCCGAATGTTCATCCCTAAACAGAACTCTTCCATACGTAAGAATTGAAGTGAAGTGGAGTGAAGAATTCTGATGACACAGAGTATTATTATACGCGCACGTTTTCTTGATCGTAGGAATATCTACCCCTACCCCTTTATCAATATTACTTGAATTATAAATAAACTAGTGGTGCTATGATATGACAGACTTTTTTGCACTAGTTATTTCCCATTCTCGCTAGCTTTTCAATTTTCCCCTACCCTCATCCCAACTGCGCCTAAACTACCTACCAGGGCCTCTCGCGGTATCTATTGCTACTTGAGGCGATATGAAGGGAAGAACCGGGAGAGGTCGCATCAGCTGATATCACTGCAGTGCCTCAGACCAGGAGGTCCTAATTTCGAGTCCCGACGGTAGCAGGATTTTCGACACTGGCAAGGTCGAATTCAGTCGCTAGCTGGAAGAGATTTCTAGCGGCCAGCTACTCTGATGGGTAGTTTTCCACGATTTCTCCGATCAACACCAGGTGAATGTCAGAACAGTACCCTAACAAACGGGCCTCGGACCGCGCGAGATTTTTCCTTACCCCTCCTCACTCCTTACTTACACACACACTTACTTGCAGTGCACTACCACACATGCCAGGAGATCGACTGGGAGCTTAAAACTTGTCCCGGCTGTGGCGGCTTTCCGCTGAGATACCTGGATGAGAAAAACCTCGCTACCGAAGGGTGGATTGACGCCATTCATTGGAATGGATCTCACCATTCATTGGAAAAAAAATACCGCCACTTCCTGAGGAAAGAACATGCACTAATTTTATGGGACAAACAATCTTAACAGCTGACGCGACTGGAATCCCTAATAAAAAAAAAAAAAGCGATGAGCACCTACGCATTCTCCGAACAACGCGTAGGTCTATCTCGACCCAGTACAGTTACACATGTGCCCTCGGTAGGCCTATCCTTTTGCCCTACCTCCTTGCTTGCACTATTGCGACATTGCAGATATGAAAGGCAAACCATCCGAAAGTAGATTCTTCAGATAAACTATAGATGTTTTTTCATGTTGATTTTGCCCTTCTTTCCTCAAGCACTGCAAATTGCTGAAAATGTGCATATTAACGGCGTGAGTGATATTTCAAAAATAATGTTTGTGTAATTTTAAAAAAATAAAAGGACACCTCAAAATGAACTTTATGTCATATTAAACAATATAATTTTAATTAAAAAATTTCGAAAATTTTGAAGAAAAAATGTTGAGCCATTTTTCAGAAATTGGTGTTATAGTGATTCTGAAAATGCAGAATTTTGAGCTAGTTTTCACAGAAAACTGTTGGGTTTTCGGGAAACTTTATATGATATTAGTTCAAGCATATGTACTTAAAAATATAATAATGTGAACAAATCACTGCTAATGTAAATATTAACGGGAGAGACAAACCAAGAAAATTAAATTTTTGTAACTTATGAAAAAACAATAGAATCTAGCATTTAGGTCACCTCATTGAGTACATTTATCACTAACCCTACCAACGGTTTTAAAAAATGTAGCCGTTTTTGAGAAAATCTTGTTTTTGTAATTTTTAAAATTGCCATTATGGCACGCAATATTGCTAGAAAACTACTAAAATTCTCAAAAAAATGTGCATGACCTTCATTAAAGAACATATACAAGAGATAAACTTTTATCTTAAATTTTGTAGTTGTAGGAAGATGCAGAAATGGAAACATTGGAAATCTTCGAAAATTCAGATTTAACCATGAAAATCTGACCTAAGCCACCTTTATAAGTGAATTTTTACTCTACTCTTACAAGGAACTTAAACAATAAATTTGGAGCCGTTTTTGAAAATTTGTTTGAAAATGTTCACGGGGCTTCATGTTAAGTTCCCTCAAATTTTGAAGAATGTTTTTCAAAATCGTGGCCTCCAGTGGAACTAGATTGTCCGAGGAATATCCATTTTGAAAAAAATGACTTCTAATGAAGTTTTTCAAAAATAAAATAATTCTGTGAAAAAAAGCTTCAAATTTCGAATCCACAGTAGCGCTTAAACAACATTTTCTTAAAAACGGCACCAATTTTTTCAAAGAGAATTGTTATTTAGTACTGTTCTTTAATATTCTTAAAATAATATTTCCGTTCTACTGTTAAGAAACTGAAAAAATTAAAGAATGCGATATATGGCAGCTGGCAAGAGTACGTGGCAAGTCCGAATAGCTCGCCAAGACTAAGGAAAATAGAAAACATACGGAAAAGACTGTGCCATTCAATAGCACTACTAGTTTCGCTCAGCGTTACATGACTTTCCCTACACTACGTATATTTCTCTGTAAATAGGAAAGCAAAAAAAACTTTGTTGTCGTGACAATGGACATTACTGGACCTTATTTACATGTGTAAAATAAGAGTATCTGCTGATTGTATATTCCTCCATGCTGATTGTCTAAAGTCAAACTTTACAAAACTGAAATAAGTGTCGTAATAGGTATTGTGATACAATTAACTATGATCCATTATTAACAAAGTGATCATTACTGCAAGTAATATTAGGATGAACACATGACATAAGTATTATAAACATCAGATTCACCTTTTGCATGAGAAAGAGTCAAATTCAAACAAAAATTATAGGTCACTTGAACTTTAACAAAGTGTGTCTAACGTTCTACAATATTCAAATAGTAACATCATATTAAATATTTAATTGGTTATCAATTTCACTTTAAGAGTCTCGTTTAATAATTGTAGAGCATAAATGAAACCCGGGCTAAATGCCAAAATGAGAAAATTTACATTTTGTGCTGAAAAGTGTGGTGTCAAGTGCAATGCGGTGTACAAATTAAATGGGTTATCTGAAATTCTCATTCTTTGCTTTTAGGGCATTTTAATAATCATGTTGGGCGATGTTTTAGATCATCAACATCCATCTCTTAGTTATTAAGCTCCGAATTTTTGTCTATTTTCTTATTTTTTTCCTTAAAAGGACCACACACGTTTCTTATTCATTTTCAGGGATTGGGAGTATTATATGCAAATTTTTGTGTGCCTATTTCATTAATAAAATAATATTTTATGCTTTAATACCTCGATATTGCCTATTCTCATATAAATTGATCAAATGCAATTATCCTTAATCCAAAAATTAAATAAAATAGTTCGTTTTTATTCTGCAAATTACAGAAAAATCAAACAACTATCGAAAAATTCCGTTTATCGTTTTACTGACACCGTATTACTAGCACCTTATTATGAAGCAAAATCACTAGTGGTAATCAAGATATTCTTTCTTCAAATTTTCACATTTTCACAAAAAACACTTCACATTTAGATAATGTGAAGGACGTTTTAGAAATATAGTGTAGGTCTCATGTTTGTTGAAAACCCTAATTTTTCTCAAAGTTCAACATTTTTTCGGAGTATTCCTACTAAACTAAAATATTAAAGATAGAGATTTTTCCCTGAAAGAAATCTGTTCCTTAAAGACAGATTTTGAAAAAAAGTCATGTACAATTTTTCAAAAATTTGAGTACTTTTTGCAGTACGGAAAATACGGACAAGAAAGTACGTGCTGTTTTAGCATTTCAAAGAGACAGCATTATAAGTAAAAAAATGTAGCCATCATCCCGGATGGTTTTATGGAATTAAGATTACAAAGAAAAGATTGTTTCCTTATTCATTAAGTGCTAATGTAAATTTTAGAATTAGAATTAAAATGTGAATCCCTATTGACCAAGTCCAGTTAACCTGACTTCAGTGAATCGTTTTAATTTTTTACAGTAATTCCTTTGAAATATGATTTTTCATTGTTCACCTGTCTTTTTACCCCTACTTTAGCTAGAATAAATGCCTTTTTGCACACCTATTTCAGTAAATGCCTTTTAGCCTGCCTATTTTAATGCCTGAACTTCCAGGCTCTAATAGTGACTTCTGTAGTGGGTTGTGTGCCAATACACAAGTAAATTTTTACTGCAATTTATGTATTTTCCTTGAATTGATAATACATTCCTATACTACACACATTGCCTAACAAACACTTTACATTTTAGTACATAAGACCACAAGAACACATGCGCACATTCATCCTCTAACAAACACACATTTGGGTGAAATTACTTTCATAGAAATACTGTACAAACTTCTGCTTCAGGATTGACCTATTATTAATATACTTTAAATTTTTGTCTTTAATTGACTTTGTTACAAGTATAAAACAACACTTATTTATGCTCTAAATAATGTTGCTATACAAAAAGAAAACAAGATAGTCAATTTTTGCTTCTAAATTATGTGCAACGTATCTAACAAGTGACGTAAAGCAACTATAAGTTGACCTTTTCGGACTGTTTATTAAGGCTAATGCGCTATACAATTGCCTGTATTAACAATACAGCACAGCAATACCTGTGATATTCTATGTTTTGCCACAATTCTGTTCTAACAATATACATTATAGGAAAATATATACAATGTTTAACACAATATATATAGTATATGTTTTGCTAAAGTACTTTTCACTGCTCTAAAGAGGCTCTGTACAGGTGTAAAGCATACATGAACCTCATCTGAAACTGACCTGAAATTCTGCATTTAACTGTATATATTATTTGAGACTGGAGTCATATCTACACTATTATGCAGTCAACGTTTGCTACCACACAATTTTACTGATTACAAATATAAATCATTGTACAAAGTGGATCAATAAAGCTTCTTTGTACACTTGAGAAAAGAACCAGAGGGCTCTATTTTACTTCCTTTTCATAATTAGTCTTTTTTGCTGTTAACATTTAATTCAATGAGAACGTCCTTTGTGATTTATTAATTTGGTTCTATGTAGATGTGGGCATTTAACAATATTTAAATGCAAGTGAAGCTAAAAGTTGCCATCAAGTGTTTCACTTGATAACTACATTTCTTATCTTAATTTCAGGAAGGAAAAAAAGAAAAGAACAAGTCATAGTTAATTTCTGTTATTTATAAAGTACAAAGAAGGGATGTATGTACTTCTGACAAAAGGTGTATATCACCGCAGCTCCCTATGAATGGATAGGGATTTCATGAAATAAATTATCACTAGACCTCTCCTGTGCTAGAAACTTTCGCCATGTATTGTTAATGGCAAAAACAAAATGTTGTGTAATGCCTATGTTAATACTGCAAATGTTGAAATGAAACTAAAAAAACCAGGGAAAAAATTCTAACATAATATATCTAAGAATCTTATGAATATTGTGAGAAGGATCTGACTTGTCAGACTATTTTTTTTGAAAAAAGAAAAAAAACTTATGCTTGTACATATTGAATGTCTCTTCCTCTAAGCACCGATTGTTTCTAATTTACAAAGACCCAGACAACAGTAACAAAACAAAAAATTGTGCCAGAAAAATGCTATAGATCTAACAAATGATGGTTATTGTGTATTCACTTATAAGAATTTACTTGTATAAATGTATTATACATGAATAGTGTAGTATATATTACAAACTTCTTGTTTGCCCAAGTAAATGAAATTAAAATGTCTCATTGTGCATTGCCCTTGTCCAGTGCTTCCAAGAATTAAGAAATAATATCTTCCTTTTGCAAACAATTTTTGAAATGTAAGTGATAGAAAAGAGAAGTGAGATGCCCATGGTGATAATCGCTTATAACTTTTTCTCACTGAGAATTTCAATACTTTGACTTACTCTAGTACTTTTCATGACTTACTCTAGTACTTTCCTTCAGGATTATTTCCTTTGAAAAGCACAGGAAAAGTAGGAGAAATACAATTCCATTTTCTTTTCCTTTTAGCCCCACAGGAAAGGCCTAGGTCCCAAGGCTTAGTCTGGACTTTGTATGATTCGTAACATAAATCTAATAATTTTTCTTTCGCAGACTGTTCAAATCCAATATGCATTTAAAATTTTTTTTCAGAGAATCTAAATATTCACTAATTACCATATATTGTACAATTTAAATAAATTCTCCTCCACTTTTAGGAGCAACAAACCTTTAAAATTATTTATAACCTCTCAGCAATGAACTTTCATCAAACATGCTTCTATAAAGACATCAATATCACAGCCATTTCATAATTAAAATAACATAGTTGATTAAATGTAATGTTAAAAGAATTAAAATAGGAGAGAATGGCAACCAACTATAGATTATCACTTCTAAAAAAAGTTCTGGCATTGTAGCAGCATTTTCCAGCGGCAAAAAATAGAAAAAGTTAGTTTCCACATTTTTATACCGTTTTCAAGGCCAATGCAGGACCACTAAGTCAGGCACATATTAATGGCATTTTACTCTTTACGAAAAAGGAATTGCCATGATTCACTTTATTACAGACAATTCCCATTCCACATTTGAAGTCTTGTTTTGATTCACAAAACAGGCAACACGAATTTCTGCTTCAAAGCCACAAGAAAAAAAACAATTATTGTGATATTTAAAAAGCTCTCCATTTTTACCGAAATCAAAGAAAACATAGAAATTAGTTTCCCCTCTATCCACCCAAAAAACTGCCAACAAACCCTCATCATTTCAGCCCAAGTATCCTTCCTAATATCAGATTCTGCGACATATCTTCCCTTACACCATCCAAAACTTGATTTTGAATAATTCACAGTCCAGCACTCATTTTTTAATTTACTAACAATAACAAATTCAGAGTTTATTATGTTAGAAAAAGCGATAAACAAACAAGTACTATTCATCCAGAAAAAATGTTTTGTAATCATCTCTTAAAACAGTAGATCATACTGACCCCAAACTGTGCATGCGCCTCCTCCACAACTAACCCACATGTCTAGCAGATCACATCACAATTCCGACGAAATGTGCAGCTTTACACATACACTTCTACCATTGGACCCAAACATGAATCAAGTTTCAAGATCCAGAACTGCTTCATTATCACTTCAAAATGGTGGCACCTCAGCCCCACACTAGAAATATACTAAAATGTTAATTTTCATATAGCTTTTACCCCACACAGCTATTTCTTTTTTATGCATACATAAAGGCCCAAATTGAAACCATAACTGTAATGCATATTTGTAAATGATAATTTAATAATATCTACCATCAGCCATTTTTCAAAACATTAGCAACAACAATGCTGCCCCCCAAAAAAGCTGTATCTAATGCGAAATTCTGAGTGCCACTGAATTTGGAAACATAGTTCATTATTAAAACATAATACTAGTTCTAGCACCAGAACATTTATCAAAATC